CCGAGCTGGCAGGCGTGACGTTCCCGAACTACCCACCCTGCAGTCGAGGCGCGAGGATGCCGCTGTGAAACTCTTTAGACAGATGCTCCAGGAGAACCACCCCCTACACGACCTCGTCCCTGTCTCTAGAGCTAACGCCACTGGACGCTCTCTTAGGAACAAGAACACTATATCCATCCCCCCAGCCAGAACAAAAAGACTCCAGAACTCGTTCCTACATCAGTCTATCAGACTATACAACCAGACTGTGTAAACGTGTCATATCTGGGATGCCCTGTTGATTTAATGTATATATTTTAATAGTATGTATATATGTGTAATATATGTTATGTACCTTATCTTGCTGTTATTGCTGTAAATACCAATGCCATTCAGGCAACACATTTTTTGTATGTCTGTAACGTTGGTATGAAATAAAGAATTGAATTGAAAATTGAATTGAATTACAAGCAAAAGTACTGACATTTGTTTTACATCAGTATCAAATTTTTCTGTTAATAGGATGTCCCATGCTAGTCTGAAAGTCTAGTGGGTGGTGACTATCGAATCGAAGCAGACGTAATCTAACCAAGATGGTACCCTGGCTTATTCAATTCAACAATAAATGGACTTAATTTTTCCTCAACTTAAAGGGAGCCTCTTGTTTATGTTTGCTGTATATATAGGGAGCCAGTATAACAACAAATACAGTATATGAAAGAGGCTCCCTTAGTTGCCTCGCCTAATGTGATAGTAATGTGAGAATTAGGAGAGTAGAAACAGATAAAAAACCCTGGCCCCTGGCTGGGATCGAACCCACGGCCCCCGGGCGCCATCTTATAATCCGATGCTCCTACCGAATTGGCTAAAAGGTCTAGACCCGTCAGACGGATCAGTTGGTAGTGCCTATAAACCCCCCACTGTTACAACAGTAACTTACTCTCCAAAAATGAGCACTGCCGTAACTGACACGACAATGGCTATGATGGGGTTGGAGATCTTGTCCAAGAAGATAGGCATGGCCTCCACGGCGCCTGCATTGGTCAGCAGCAGGGTGACCAGCAGGAGATGGTGATTCTCCACGATGGGCAGGATTTTGGCCGCGTGTTTCCGCTCACTCGGCTTGCCTCCCTCCTTCAGAACTTTCAGGCTGTTCTTGTCCAGAGACAGTAGACCCATGGTCAACCCTGCCATCAAACCTTAAGTAAAGAAATAATGTACATGTAATTACTTTATGTTCACAGTACCAAAAGTTCACCGTCTGTGAAAAAAAAGACATGTTCGTGGAGCTATACATTCACATAATTTAATGGCAGGTGCAGCAAGGAGAATGTTGTAGTTTGCGGTACAGAAGTGACCATGAAAACCGACATATAAAAGTACCACACAAAATTACTGTATACACGTCAAGAATTTTAGGAGGGGAGCAATTATGTATAAATTGTATCACTTTTTCTTAGAGTTAGACCGTATTTACCACCTCTTTATGCATTGTATTGTTTTTTTAAAACAATAAAAGCCAAAAAAAGCCACCATGACTACCACAGATTTTTTTAATGGTGAAGTTCAAATTAAGGATATCCAAAACATGTTTAAAAGTTGATAACACAATACATATGCCTTTAGGAGGTGTATACTAATTACATATACTGGGTGTAGAACTTAGGTCACATGCAGGGGCCAGGACCTTGAACTATATGTCTGTCCTATAGTCTAGACAATTTTCCACCACACCCTGGGGCCATTATTCAACGTTACAGGTGGTTTCACAAACATGTATGAAAGAGTGAATTAATATGGGCGTGTCTATGTTAACTAAAGTTACATGTGCGTGGGGAGGGGGGCAATTTAGGAAACTGAAACTTTGTACTAAGAACCTATATTAGTGCCTTTAAGAGAATACGTTCGCCCTGATCTATTGAATTTTTTTGAAAACGTCATACTGTCCTTGGTTTAGCGATCATTCCCTGTCCATATTTGCGTTCACATGTTAGACCAAGGAGGTTCTTTGGAACTTAGACTGGAAAGTTTGGGGAGGGGGGCGGATACATGGGACAATAATCTTTTACATTTCATATAGCTATAACAACAAGTCCCTTTTAACAGGGTTTTCTGAATTTTTTTTAACATCCAATGAATGAAGAAATCCTGAAATTCAATTTTGGGTTGCCCTACCTGCCACCATGACCAGAGCCACGTACACGCCCAGGTATATCCAGAAGTGTGCATCGTAGATCGTCAGCGGCGGTTCTTCCTCATCATACACCTCGCCGTTACAGATGATAGTCAGGGGCCAGTCCTTCGGGATGCACGTTATGTTTTCGTGCGCCATCCTGAGAGTCTTCTGCGTTTTTGTGGCGACGAAAGAGTGTCGTTTGGCGCGAAGTTGTGGTGGTTTATTCTTGAGATTATAGACTTGAAAAACTACTTCTTGGCCGCCATCTTTTATACAGGAAGTGATCAGCTGTTCCCAGCATGCTTCACGATGCAACAACCTGTCAAATACCTTTTTTATCAAAAACAATAATAAACCGTGGATGAAAAGCGTTTATACAAGATATAATAAAACGCAGCAGCTAGTCTTTTCACAATACTTCAATTTGACAAATATTCCAGATCTGTTTTCAATAATAGACTGCATTGAAACAACCTGTTGGAAGCTAGCGCTTACTTTTAAAGCCTTTAAATAGGTAACGTTATCTTCACCAGTAACTACTTATAGTTTTCAAATGACAACTTCTGCAAATGTTGTCTTTCTGTATTGCTAAAAAAAGTTTTAACATAGTGTGAATCTTTGTAATTTCTTATTCTATAAGATTTCCATCATAGTCAGGCCATAAATTTGGTACAAATGTTTGTTTTCACACCCTAATTAAGTTTCCTACAAAAGCCTGAAAAAGCTATTGCTAACGTTTTGTGCAGGGCAGCCAAACTTTTCTTTTCCATTTCTCTTTACATGATATAGACTGATGGATATCGATAGTACTGTAAGGCTACTGTTTTTCTGCCACGACCCCTTTCTGTTGACCGTGAAAAAGCACCTGACGTACCAGGTCACAGCACCTGGCACCTGCGCAACTGCAAGGTGCTCATGCCTCAGACCGACAAGCCGGCGCCGTTTTAACAACAGTTTTCGAGCTTCGTTACGCATCTTTCATCTACAGGTAAGGCATCCATTTACCAAATGCACATTACCTTCAATGAATCCCGTTGAAGTTGACACCTGCTGATATAGTAATAAGTATTGATCCACAGTAGTAACAACACTAAGGAGGCATATGTGCGACTCAAAACGTATGCTTCCCATCATACTATCGCTTACAGAAGTATGCAACACTGCCAAGGAACAAACTTTGCTGTCTAGGAGAAAATGTTAAATTTCTTTTTGATAGAAATGTGGGTGTGGTCGCATCATTTCAGTTAGTCACGATTAGCTTGAGAGCAAAAATGCCTCTGGTACAAGAATAGTGTCGAAAGTGAAACTGATTTTATTGCAGTTTTTCCCTGAATAATCTGATATTTATTTCCATTTTAACGGTGTAGATATGATACAGTGACACTAGAGCACACGTGCTTTCTTGTTAATGATGTCAAACAAGACATAATGCGTCAAATTGACTTAGAATGGGCAGAGTTTTACGTACTGTGCAGGATGTGAAACTGAACTGACCAAAATGGCGGACTTATATTCTCATGTTGTTTACGCTGAACTATTGCTCCTAAGAAGGGTTTTTGGTGTTGTTTTTTGTCTTTCAATGTCACATGACATCCACATACTTGAAGACAATAGAACGATGTTACCAGACTGTAATACGAAGGCAAAATGACGTTAGTTTACATGTCAACACGTATACGTTCAGTGCGTCACGAAATTTCCAGACGATGGGGATTCCCCTTTCCAAGTGGTCTGTGGTGGTAGTCATAGTGAGGTCACGCATTACGGTGTATGCTGTCGCATAGGGTTCCCCACACCTTGGGTACTCCCCAAGCAGAGGATTGGATTTTGGATTGGGAATGGGTTGGGTTGAGGAAGAAAAGTCCAGTGCAAAAAAAAACGATAAAAAAGCCTAAAAACACGCCCAAAATAAGGCAAAACCCAAACCTTGAGCACATAGCACCAATTGATGAATAGAACTGTTACAATACTTTCTACCTCAGAAAACTTCGCTACGATTTTTCGATTAAGTCATTGTCTCGGTGGAGGGGGGCATACAATATGGGAAACTGTGCTGCTTACGGATTTTTTACCTCAATTAATGCATCTTTACGAGTCAAATGTTAATCTTTTCTTAACTAAAAATGGAAATGAGGTTCCTGCATGGAGGGGAAGGTAGTAGTGATTACGAATTACGCAAAATTTTCGCCGCCGATTATGAATTACGTTAAAGTCTCAGAGCTGATTACGACTTTACGCTTTGCCGCTAATGTACTACTGTATTACGAATAACGTTGATTTTTTTTAGGCTGCCTACGGATTACGGAGACTAAAAAGGCCTGATTTCGTCTTACGCAAAAGGGCATGCAGGCCAATAATCAGGTCTAGTCGTTCTGACTCAGCAAATCTATTACTTTGCTTTTATCATATAAAAATTATCGATTCCAAGGGTCCGATTCCAAGTATCATATAGCCAAATTTCAATCATATAGACATACTTTGTCCAAACCTGTATCCAAACGCATTCTACCTAGCTGTTGTGTCACATTTATATATATTGCTATTTTGATTTCAAGTCTTGAGGTTTTGCATGGTAATTTGTCTATGTTGACTGCAGACAATCAAAATTGAAACCAAAACTAAACCTGTTGAGTTTGGGGCAGCAGTTGTGAAACACAATATTAGGCTTCGTATTCCTAAGTAGTTGTGTTCATATTCTGTAGATATGGAGTGTATACACACGTATATACACACGTATGGCACGTGGGTGGCCTCGACCATTGTTCTCGCGTTCATCACACTGCTCTTACTAGGAGGAGGGCGTCATATTTACCGCAAGAAGAAAGAGGATAACAGTGGTGAGTTGTGTGTACTATATGATGATGAGATTGCAGTGGAAATGTTTCTATGCAGAACTGAATTATTTATGAATGAACACCAGAAATTAAGTTTATGAGTAATCAAATATATGCGGAAGTAAATGGAGACTCAGGTCTTTTAGCGTTGGCTACCCCATTTTTTCATTTTTTCATGAATATTTTTCTGGTATTAATAGGACAGTATGTGTATTAGAGATAAGTTTCTTTTGTTGTATATGAGGTGAAAAATGGGCCAAACACATGAAAAATTATCCATATATCCCCATAATTCCAATCAATACGTTTTTTCGAGTAAAATACTTTTATATAAATTTTAAAAAATGAAATAAATAATCAGGTCTAGTCGTTTTGACTCAGCAAAGCTATTACCGCGTACATGTAGAAAATTCTTGTTAAACAGATAAATTGTGATGTTATAAATAGATTTAAAAATCGGATGGCTAATTGATATTATTTTTGTGATGCCCTTCCCCAGTGAGAACGCAGAAAAATGACGCCAAGGTTTCAGGAGATGGACATGTCGTTATCCAGTCTGGCGACAACCCATCTATAACAATAGCAATGCCTGAAAATGGAAGTCCAGTCAGTAAGTGGTGCATTGTTTGATAATCTTCCTACCTCTATGACCATTCCAGTTTGTAAGTCACCTATCTCTTTCAGGTTGCATTTCTCTTACGTAAGTCTTGCTGTATTTCGATATCGATGAGTATACAGTAAACTGGCACGTTAAGCCGATGGGTGTTCATTCCGGCTATACAGATAGTGTCATGTATCATGTGACTGAATATTGTACTTGAAATTTAAGAAAGTATATACTTGTAGAAATATGGCTGATTTAAATCTCAATGTATGTAAACCATGGAAAGGAAAGAGGAAATGAATGAATGAATGAATGAATGGATGAATGAATGAATGAATGAATTAATGAATGAATGAATGAATGAATGAATGAATGAATGAATGAATGAATGAATGAATGAATGAATGAATGAATGAATGAATGAATGAATGAATGTTGTACCCCAGCTAATGAGTATTTTACTTTGGCACGATAGGGCAGAGTGACGACCCTACACCCATCGCGACAGAGACCCGGCGTAAAATCACGAAAAAGAACGGAGACCAGGTGGATGAAACAATTGTGAAGTTCTTTGATACTCCCGCGGGAAAAGAACTGGCCAACAAGCATTTTTCCGAAAAGTACCAAGGCACCACGCTGATGACTTGTCAAAAGTGTTGCGTCAAGTTCTACCTCTTGGCACCCACTTTGGAAATCGCGGAGAAGATACGCGAAGACGGGAAGAGCGGCCGTCTCGAAAGTGTCATTGTGGAACTCTTAAAGCTTTCCCCAATTCCAGACCTAGATTGCGAGAAGCTACGTATCAAAGTTACCAACGTCAATGTAACTACAAGATCAGCAAAAGGGGCCAACATGACATCGGATGTACGTGTCGACCAAGAACAACAACTTGTGTATCAGCCCAAGAATCCTATTCCAACGTTTTCCCTGCTTCGCCTGAAGGACCTCCCGAAGACGTGGGCCACTTTGGCTAAGATGGCGATGGGATTTGGAGCAATATTGCACAACTTTGTTGCCTTAGTCTCCAGCACGAGCACAGGACACAAATTTAAAGGTGCTTGCTACCTTCTCATACGTAGCCAATATTTTGAAATAGGGAAATTCGCAGTACTTGCCGACCGGCACTAGTAATGTTTAACCATTCAAAAAGTTATAAACCTCATGCATTAATGTTTGAAATATAGAAGAACAGTGCAAACATCCATATACACATCTGTTATAAAACTAACGCGTAAGATACGTACATATATAACTTGTTACACCTTTTCCATAGGTCAATAACTCAGTTTAATTATTGTGGATTATGTTTTTAATTATATTTTTTATCCCAGTGAGCAATGGTGACAGAGAGGAATGCTCTCCAGCCGAAGAGATCATCGTTGAAGTGACGTTCGAAGTGGAAAAAAACGAGATGAAGCATCAAGAACCCGAACAGCTCTCCTTGACGAAATACACAAGTCCCGCCGTCAGGACAAAACACAGTAAGGCAGGTGTGTACGATGTTGATGTTGAACTTTAATTTCATCCATGCCCTTTGGGGTAACAGAAAAGACTTTCTTAGCATGAAAGTTCATCTGTGTTGGTAAGAGTCATTATGAAGTAAAGACTAAATTTTGTCTTACATTAAATTAGGACTTACCTAAATTTTCGACTCCTTCAACCTTGTTCATGGAATGGACCTGTCTACTCTTGGAACGTGACGTCAGAGACACGTGACCGTAGTATTCGGTCATACGTGCCAGATAACTTGTGTCGCCCACCGTCTTTGTTCAGGGTAGATCTGAAAGAAAAGATTTCCATTTGTTGTTCCAGAAATATACACACCGAAGGATTTCGTCAATGCAAACCAAACGGAGGAAATGTATTCGACCCCCGGCGTTTGCTTCTGAAACATTCGATATGGTTTTCCAGCAGAAATTTTCTTCTGGTCATTTTATGATTTATCTGTCTTTTTTAACGTGGGAACCATATGCTGTATGTACAGGTCGCACAGCCTATCCATGGTTAAAAGATGAATCCTACCTTCCAATGTACAAGAGCCCAGGCTACTCAGCGGCATCAGGCAAGTGCATGTTTCAATCATACATATGTCATTCGCTGTAGGGTGTTCCCAAAGACTACAGTAGACAAAGAGACTACATCCATCCAGACTGGAAGACACAAAGACTCCATTACCTCCATGAAAATGGAGGTATTGTTTTTGGCGCGTTTCTGTGTGTGTATGTATGTACGTATGTATGTGTGTGTGTGTGTGTGTGTGTGTGTGTGTGTGTGTGTGTGTGTGTGTGTGTGTGTGTGTGTGTGTGTGTGTGTGTGTGTGTTTCCACACTTCAGAACGCCTTTATGGATTGTGATGATATTTGGTTTGCTGGTAGATCTTAGGAAACCAAAGGTCAAGGTCAAATATGGGCCTCCTGGTGCCTTACCTTGGTACTGCAGCAGAACGTCCAGTTTTGTAAGGCAGGGAAAACAGATGTGCCGGTTATGCAACAAAAAACCAGCGGTTAGTGCGCTGGTTTGATTAATGAGGTTCTCCCTCTGGAATAGGCTGACCTACATATTTCAGGCCAAAGGTGCTAGCTGTGTGTTTGAAAACAAAAGCCCGTGTTATTTTGTTCTGTACTGTAATATACTGTGTAAAACATTTACAAAAACTCATATATTTCATGGAGGTATGAGATCTCCGAATTCTTGTTGTAAAATGACTTTTAGACACAGATGATTATCTTATGATTGTTTATCTTGGGGTGTAGGCCTATTTGATGTGATTAGAAACCAATATCCTGTATTTTACGTGCGTACGTTAAGAACAACATTTCAATCACAGTGCATTTCCTCATTGCCTTTTATCTATCTTTGACAGGACGTAAGGGATCCTCCATTGTCGAAGCAATGGAAATACTAGGAGAGCAAGGTAAGTTATCATTAGGATTTTTATGCATAATGCTTGCTACAACAAATTAGCAGTTTGTGATAAATGAATAAATGCCTATACCTAACTGTCATAATTCATTCACAATATTCATTCATCACCCTCGTACCTACTTTTCTTTGAAAGGGCGATGGAGGAAGTTTGATGCTGTGATGAAGCGCGTGATGGAAAAAATGGCCGATCCAGATGTGTCGATTTTGGTTACGTTTGAGGTATGTCGTTGTTCTGTTTCTGTCCAGAACGCTGTTCTACAATGCACAGCTTTGATATTTGCTGGTCTCAACTCATGGTTGCATTGCCAGTACAATGAATTTTCAGTTCAGAAAAAAAAGTGTCCAAAGAATCCTAATATCTGTTTCTTGAGTAAACTTGCTTCGTACAATGATTTTGAATAGTATTCATCTGTAGCAAAAATCATTTTTCATATTTCAGGCCATAGTTGCGTCGTACTACCGATGTGAGTTTGCGAAAGCAGCCGAACTCCTCCAGAAAGCGTTCGACTTGATACCACAGACGAAGTGCCCTATCGAGCACCAGGCGCACACCCTCTACACCATGTCTGCAATAAAGCGTAGAGAGGGGAAACATCAGGAGTCTGACCACGCTATACACCTTGCCATGCAGGTACAAACAAAGCTTCATATTTTGCACATAACGTTAGGTAAGGTTTAAATCCCATAGAATATGATACCAAGTTAATGGCACGGTTCTTCCAGGGAATTCTATATAGCTAGAACTTAAAAGTTCTAGCTATATAGAGTGAATGACATACAGTGATTCCACTTTCATGAAAGTTCATCTGTGTTGGTAGTTACATGTTTAAAGTTAAAACTTTTGATTCAACACAAAGAAATTCTTTTACGTAGAGCTTTCGACCAGTCACTCTGGTCTTCCCCAGTAGACTGACCCAATAAGACGTTTCACGTGGCTTATTTGAAGTGTGACATCAACACTGGGTCAAAGATATCTGGTAGACGATGTCGGCCTCCGTCGCGTCTACCAGATACCTTTGACCCAGTTTCGACGTCACACTTCAGAGAAGCCACGTGACAAGTCTCACATGGTCAGTCTACCGAGGAAGACCAGAGTGACGTGTCGAAAGCTCTAGGCGAGAGAATTTCTTTGCGTTGTAAAAATGTATTCCAACTTGATATTTATTTCTATTCATGCAGGTTATCCGCCACGTGGAGCCGGGCAGAAACGCCGGTGAAGTGTTCTACAACTGTGCCTGCCTGCTTGCCCAGGTGAACAGTGGATCCACAAAACGCGACAACAAGACCTTCATAGATGCCAAGCAGAACTTCCTTTTGGCCATCGACCACTTCCAACGAGGGATTCAAGGTGAGGATCTCATTTGTGGTCTAGGAGCTGATATAACATCTGCACTGCAGCAGTTAGACTGGTAGTAGTAGACATCCTTTTATCTCAAAATTAAGATGGTAACACCGATGTTGTGGCCGTGTGTAGTGTATAGTATGGCTAATCAGCCCTATCTTCGCAAGACAGTCCCGGCTACGGTTCAACAGGACACAAGAAAGTTTAGCCATTTTGTGGTAACTTTTTTTTTCTCTTGCAGGTAGACTATACTATAATATCCAAATACCCTGTATTAACTTTAAAATGGCTGGAGTCAGAATGAGTCACCATTTCGTCCCTTTTCGACTGTAGGGCGAGTCTACACCGTGTCTTGTGGCAACAAACTGCGCAAGGCGTTCATTCGACTGGCCATGCTGCTCCTGGACTGTTCAGTTGACGCGAAGAACGTCGGACGCCCCATATCAGAGGATGACCTGAGAATGGCCGCGAATTGTCTTACCAAAGTTGAATCGGATCTCTGGGAAGGAATCACCCTTCGTGCCAGGTAGGTTTACTCGACAGAACTAATTTTATGTTCCTATCGTCTCTTAGGAGCAAAGGTTCTTTCGTGTCTGAAACATGGTCTTTCACGAATGACAACTTAGTCTTTGCGAAGTACTGTAAGAAACATGAGGAGACAGTAAAAACCCTTCTGGTCCCGGGCCGGGGTTCGAACCCACGACCTCCCGGGCACCAGAGCGTCATAACCAGACGCTCTAGCCACTCCGCTAAAAGGTCTAGACCCGTTTGCCGGGTCAGTTGGTAACGCCTATAAACCCCCCACTGTTACATATCTACTTCGACAAAAGTCCATCTACAACTGCCTCAAGAAGCGAGAAGAAGTTGAACCTGTAAATTGTAGTTCACATAAGTATGTATAGTTTAAATAAGATATTACTGTAATTTTTCCTGTTTATTCATGACCTATATTTAGCTTGTGTGCATCATGAGCATAAACGTACAATAAAGGTCTTTTATTCATCCATTCATCAATATTCATATCCTAATATTTTCTACATTCCAGGTGTTTCTGGTTGATGGCAACAGCTGTCCTATCATATAGGCTACAGCAGTTCTCCAGAGCTACCGACTGTGCGCGGACTGCCTACGACATTGCAACTAGCTTGGCCTTTCAACCAGAAGTCCAGTTCGCCCACAACCTGATGACTATGCTGTCCTACGCCACACACACACCGCAACCAGGACAGGAGTTCCTGACATTGGAGTACTAGGTAGCTGAACACTATAGTACTAAAGGGTTAATGCCCCGCCCCGAGGTGTATATGGTGAGATAATCCCTGTTCATGTGCGATAACCACATAATAAACCACCAAGTGAGCGTAGTTTATGAGGGATCGGTTATTCTAATATTCATTATTTCAGGTGCACTAATGAAGAATGTAGTATCACGTAGACTCTTATATCATTGTACAGTGAAGCTCTTTTTCATCCATGGTGTTTGTATTTGCAATTAGCCCTCGGGCATATGCATTTGCAAAAAACGTTCTTAAACTTTCTATGTTTACCTATGATATATTACCCAAGCAAATCACAAGTGTATGTGTTTTAGCCACGTATTTAATATTGCAATGCAGTTTTTTTTGTTATAGCATTTCTTACTTGCAATGGAACCAAATGGATAAACATGAACTGGAGAGACTACACCATGTACATGTATCTCACCTGGGGATTAATTGCAATGCTGTTCTGTTCCGCTAGTCAGCGTTAGTAGTACTAGTAAGTTCCATACAGTTCACTGAAGAAATAGAATATGGTAGCTCTGGTGTACATACTTCCACAATAAACAAACTGTAGCAAGCAATGGGCTACACGTAACAAGCAATAGTACTAGTAGCAATAGTAAGATTCATTCTAAACCTTGCCATCCTACTGTATGCCTATCAAATTATGTTATAGTGTTAGGCAAACGTTTCAGCGTTTATTTACCGCAACGTCTATATCACATAAGCTTAATATGAGGTGGTTGTAAGCTGCGTTAAAGAATTGTATATTATGTATATCGAGTAGTGAGATTTATTTAATAGCTTACTGGCCCCTAACGGAAGTAAAAAGCAAGTGTAGCACAATGGTTGAAAAGAAAAATGCATTAGTTGATATGTAAAGGTGTACTAAGTCTTACGTTTTTGTTCTTCTGTAGCGTGATTTGAAAATACATTAAGTAATTAGTACATGACCCTTTGCCGTCCTCTTTGTTGTTAATATTGGTCATTTTGGGTTCAGTACTGAAGGGACACGTAACAAGAACGTTGTTGCATGAAAATGGATTTATCAATTTAAAATTACCAGACTTACCCGGTATTTAACAGCATTATTAAATCTACTGAGATACTTTGCGTTCAGTGTGCTATGGGTCTGGCATCCAGACTAGACACAAGAAAGCGAGATATTTTGTGGTTTCGCTTTGAAAATGAAAATACAGTATAGTAATAATAATATATGTAACATTAATCTTCAATGTTAATCTACAGTTCTTCACAATTTCACAATGCGAGGATCCTTTCCTGTGACAGTAAACAATACCCAAACCAGTGTTCCGCTGGTGACGTCAATCTGTTCCGACAGTGAATGGCGTGTGTTGAAGACATACAGCAGACACACAACACAGATGGCCTAACTCTCTGTAAAAATAGCCCAATCTCCCGTCTGGGCCCTCCGAGCTAGACAAATCCCCCTCCAGACCACAGCTGTGCCGTGTCCACTCTTGATAAGCTGTAACAGCTCCTGACGTCAAACTTTTAGAGCACCACAATCTCAGTAGCCTGGGTGCCAGACTGCTGCCACGGCCACTATACTATCCTGGGAGCCGTGGGTATAGTGATCCGCACTGAAGCCAGGGGAGTCTGGCTCCCAGGATACCAGTATACAGGCTAACTCCTCGGCTCTAGCCTCTACCAGGCTTCAGGAGGCGACTGGAAAGAGTAGAAATTGGTCAAATAGAGAGATAACATGCCGAGGGAGTTAGTCGCCTCCCGAAGCCTGGAAGAGGCTACCTCGGCTCCATGTCCCCAAGAAAATTTTACCATAGACACCCATGAGCTCGAGCTTCTCTGGGTCTATTAATAACAAGAGATAACGAGAGATAAACATTATTGTACCTATCGGGCTAAGTACAGGTCAACAGATGCAAAGGTATATATATATACTATAATGTAATAGTACAGTGGTAACATCACATAGTGTTTATGAGATGTTCCCACTGAATCAAAAACATTTGTGCAATGATTGAAACCTTTTATTACTCCGTGAAGGAGGTCAGGACCTCCGGACGGAGTGTTGTGATCGGCTGATTTTTCGTGTTCGCAGTCAAAACACTGGGTTCTCTTTGTGTAATCGGCACGCAATTTTATACGCCGTCTGCGGGCATGCCCGTGTTGATGCACGAATGTGTATTTTAAATTTTGCCGTTGCTGCTTTCGCGGTCAATGTAATATTGCAGACGCACCCCTAAAATTACGAGGCGAATTGGAATGGTCCAGAAAAACGCGTTGTTTGGAATAGCAGTGGGGGGGTGT